ACGCGCGCGCGCGCACACACACACACATGCACACACACACATATGAAATATCTAGTGGTCTTTTAATTGTGGTAGAACATAGATTTTGGGGTATTTTAGAGTGACTTTGGGATCTTTTTTTATCAGGGATTTTGCAATATTTAAATAGGGAACACCAGAATTCCTGCTAGGGAGGCAAGTGGCAGGACTCAGGCACCTGCTTAGAACTGGCACCTGGGACCCAGCTGGAGGTTGCTGACCTCTTGGCCACTTGGGGTCAGAAGGATGTGCTTTGACAGTTCAAAGCAGGCCATTACACTGAGAACATCTTCTGGGCAATAGCTGCCCCGATGACCAGGTGGTGGCACACATGGCAGTAGTGCTGCACAAAGGCCAACTGTGCAACCACAGCCCGCTGGCAGCTGGCCCAGAGGTGCAGATGCCTCTATTGGCTATGCAGTCCACATCTGGGTCTGGCAGGGCTACTTGCTGTCAAAGGTGGTAGCAGGTCACAGCCAGGCAGCAGTCCCCACTGCCAGACTGCTGCAGTGGGTAGAAGGTGCAGGGAATTCCCAGCGCTGTTTCAGCGGTCCAGCTGGCACAAGGGGTAGTGTCCCCAGGTACCAATTGGCCGGGCCCCAGAAGCTCCTGAGAGTGAGTGGTCCTGAGCTGCTACCCAGGGCAGCTTTTGATACTGCTGGGGCCAACACAGGTGCTGGCCCCAGCTTCTAGCTCCTCCTGGATGCAGATCCAGGAGCTGAGCAGGGTTATTTTGCTCCAGGTGGCACAATTTGCCCCACACCAAAGTGTTTCCAGGCACGTGCACTGAGGCAAAAAGCCCCAGTTCAAATTTGCGCCGCTTCTATTTGAGCTGCTGTAAGTGCATGTGCCTGCATGTGTGGATGCACCCGATGAGTCCTAAGTGATTCTATGAGAAAGTTAGTATGCAGTAAGATCAGATGTGAATTTATAGCACGTATGTGGAACAGACAGTGCACTGTAACTTCACACTCTAGCTTATTCTGCTTATTGCTACAATGTTAAGCAGTTAGGGCTTGCGTATAATAAAAACTGAACTTCCTCCTAATCTTTTTAAGCACCTTCTTCTAATATAACAACCCCACCCTCTCTGACCAGAAGTAAAAACATCTAAAATAGTCTCAGTACAGGAGTAACCCACTGCTCATTAACTAGGGATGCACAAAATATTTATTTCTATTCATAATATATCTTGCTAAACTAGTTTTCTTAAACAACTCATTGTTATTTTCTTTTTTTAATAATTACTTATCCACTAGGGTATGACTAAGGCTATGTTTTTGGCACATTTCTTTTTAATAAATGTCATAGAAGAGGTGTGGAAAATGCAGTATTCAAGGAAAAGTGCCAAAGCATGCTTGCTACATGTTGACAACAGTGAAACAGTACCTTAGCAGAGCTCATTTCTCTACTCTGGACCACTGCCTCATAGGAGTTGTAGCTTGAAGGGCTATTGCCCCCATTCTTTCAGCCAACATCTGTGGCTGAATTACACCTTCCATGATCCTGTGTGCTCTTCCCTTTCATAGAATGCCAGGGTCCTCCTGATTCTCACTGAGTTTCTACATTGTTGTGGTTTCCAAACCTCCATGGCTGCTGTGACAAAAATGTAGTCTTAGTCATGACTGGCAGCCTGTGCTAAATAACCATCTAACTAGTATGGACTGGAGAAGTAAATACAGGTACTCCTCACTTAACGTCATCCCAGTTAAGGTTGTTTCATTATTACATCGCT